GGCTCTGCCTGTCCTTCCGCGGCCGGCGGTGCCCGGGCGGCGGCGCCGCGCTTTGCCCGCATCCCGCGCATCGATCGGCACCGAGCGCTCGCACCGCGCCGGCATTGGAAAACGATTTTCCGCGGCGGCCTGGCGGTCGGTACCTGCTCCGGCGCCAAACTCACTCAGAGTCGTTTTGCCCGTTAGGGCGCCACGTGGAGCGATGGCCCCCCAGGCCATCGAGCAAGGCCCGGGACCCCAGGGCAGAACGGCCTCCAGGTGAGTGGTCTTCGCCGGCGTCGCCAGGCGGGGCGGCCCAGCTCCCCGGGCATCAACTGTGCTGGCGTGAGGCCTTTGATTGTCCGCGGTGCCCTCATTGTCGTCGGGCGTCTGCGTGAGACCCCAAGCTCCCCACCCTGTCTGCAGGGCACGCTGCTGCTCAGCAGTGTCATGGCAGCGGAGTCCCTTTGTCACCCTGCAACCTCCTCGGTACCATTTCCCCCCTCGCCCCTGCCTCCACCTGGAGACCAGGGTCGCTGCCTTTCCCACAGCCTCCTGACGGGACCCGGTGCCGAGGACAGGGCGCGAAGGAGCTGTCTTCCAGGCTCATTGGCCTCAAGCAGAAGAACGCGCGACCTGGTGTCTCAGCCTCTCCGGCTGCTGTAATGAAAATACCACAGACGGTAGCTTTTATAGCAACGCACGTTTCTTTGTCACAGTTCTGGGGGCTGGAAGTCCAAGATCAAGGCGGGGGCAGAGGCACCGTTTGGCAGACCGGCTTCCTGGTTCACCGATGCCTCCTCCCTGCCATGCCCTCACCGGGCGGAGGGCGCAGGGCCCTGGGGGGCCTCTCATAAGGGCACTAGTTCCGCCAGAGGCCGCCACCTTCATGACCCAACCACCTCCCAAAGGCCCTGCCTCAACCACCACTGCACTGGGGGTTCGGATTCAACATGTGAACTTGGAGGGACACAAAGCATGCCACAGCACTCGGGGAGGGGACAGGATTTCAGGAGTGACATCACACAGGGCTGTCTCTCCCCACCAGCGCAGGTTTCAAGAAACAGGAGGATCCAGTGATGGGGCCTTCATCAACAGGCTGGAGGAAACACATGGACACCAAGGAAACGATGTCCCTTTAAATAGGGGAGCACAGGGCAGAACCCATGAGCTCAGATATATATTGAACACACACACACACAAATAAGAAACATGGGGAAGGAATGCGAGCCCAACGGGATGACTGTGACAGCAGCCAACGGAGTGCAAGGAAAGGAGACCGGTGACGAGAGCACACAGGGCTTGTGTGGGTGACACAGACCGAGCGCACCATCACCAGTGTGTGGCTGCAAGAGGTGCCAAAGGATGACCACCCTCTCTAACCTACATCCAGCCCAGCACCCAGGAGCCCTGTAGCCTGGCTATGCCCTCGCATGTGACCCCATGAGTTAGGGTAGCTGGCAACCCCTCTAGGGGCTCATAGCGAAGAACAACCTGGGACACGGGTGACAGAAGGCAGAACTGCGCTCCTTTTGTCTCCACCTTTCCAGGTAGGGTCGCCGCCCTCTGGATCTGCTCAGGTAGAAGCGGTGTGGTTAAGAGCTGATTAATCCTGATTAAAGGGCACCCTTTGCCTGATTGGAACGGTGCCCTAAGTTCAGGATCCGAGCAGGGGGCAGAGGCAGGCAGGGCACGGCACGTCCTGCCAACCCTTGGGGCCATGCGTGGCTCACGGTTCCTGGTGGACCAGCTGCTGTGGCATAGCACGTGGGAGGGGCCCTGGGAGGCTAGGTTTTAAGATGATTGGTTTGCTTGGCCCGCCATGACCAAGTGCCAGAGGTGGGCTTAAACACAACTCTCCTCCCTGGGTTTGGGGCCAGGAGTCCAAGTTCAAGTTGTGGTCAGGTTTGCTTCTCAGGCTGTGAGGGAGCACGTGCTCCGGTCTCTCCCAGCGTCTGCCGTGGGCTGGCCGTCCGCGGTGCTGCTGGGCTTGTATTGTAGAAGGCTCCCCCTCTCTGCCTTGACGCTCACATGGTGTTCTGTGTGTGTCCAAACATCCCGCACCTGTGGATCAGGGTCTGCCCTACGCCCTCATTTTCACTTGATCACCTCTGTAAAGACCTGATCCCCAAATCAGGCCACATTGTGGGGTCCTGGGGCTTAGGACTTCAACACATGGACTTGGGGCACAATTCACCCCATGACAAAGAGGACTCGTAACAGGGCACCGCTCAGAACATGGCAGCGCCCTAAAGCATTTGGCCGCTCATGTGGTTGGTCCGTCTGCACACGCAGAGACCTGCGGGGGGCAGCACAGTGCAGGGAGGGACAGAGGATGTTGCCATGTGCATCTTTCAAGGACTGCATACGGCCAGTGGGCCTCAGCTGGACTGCCCCCTCTGTTAGCTCAGCTTCTGAGGAAGCCGCTGTTGCTTTAGACGTAAGGGGACCATCAGAACCATGGCGCTTGTCCCCTCTCTGGGCGCTGAGCGGAGGCCCCTCTCGCTCGCCCCTCTTGACCCTATGCCGCCTCCGTGGCTTCTGTCATCTCCTGCAGGAATGACAGGGCTCCCGGGTGCCAGGGCAGCAAGGTTGTGGGTCACACGACCTTTGCCAGTTGTTCTGGCCTCTGTCCTCTCCTTTTGCTTGCCGTGTGAAAAGGACTAAAATGACTGTCGCTCCTCAGGCAGTGAACCTTATGGGCGGCGTGTGATTTTTGAATCGGGAAGTCTAAGGCCAGCCTGCAGGTTGGCAGCCCCTTGTGAGAGGGAGGGCGTGAGATGGTGCAGCCCTGACTGGGCAGGCTCTCTGAAGAAAAACCACCAGCAGACCGGGAACACGCCGGTGTCGCTCCCTGAGTGAGAAGTCAGGTGCCATCTTCAAGCCACAGGCTCAGTGGGGTCCTGCCTTCAGCGACCCTGTCACGTCCCTGTGCATCCTATGTTATTATGGCCGTCCCAGTGGATGGCTGGGCTCTACAACACTGCTGTCCCCATGTCACATGGCTGGATGCCGGGAACTGTGTCTCCCAAATGCCCTGGCTGGCAGGGCTCAAGTCAGGGCTGTCACGGGAGCACCTGCTGAGTCCAAGGGCAGGAGGCCCCGTGGCTGGGCAGTCCCCTGCAGCCCCCAAACTGGATAGCACCACCCTCCTATCTTTGCCCCTCCAAACCATCCAGCAATTTTTAATCTCATTCTCTGCATCAAATCTCTCTCTGTTTATAATTTGTACAGTGGCTGGTGTTCCTTAGCTTGTGCTGCTTTAACAGCAAGCCCCTGGCTGGGCGGCTTAACCGCTTCTCTCAGTCTGGAGGCTGGATGTCGAGATCACAGTGCTGCCGTGGCTCGGTTCTGGGGAGGACCTTCAGGCTGTGACCTCAGGTGGGAGGAGAGAGAGCCGGCACACCTGATCAGGGCTCTGATCCCATCCGGGGGGCGCACCCTCATGACCTCACCTGAGCTGAGTCACCTCCCCAATCCCCACCTCCTAATACCTCCCCCTGAGGGTTCGGGTGTCCACGTGTGCACGTGGGAGGAACCGTGCACAGTGCACGGAGGTTCTAAACCGAGATGCTTCGATTCAAACTGAGCTAGTCTCCTAGCACTTCATCCCCTTTCGGGGAAAATTTTTGTTTTCCTTTGAGTTAATAATTTGCCGCCTTTTCACTGGTCAATTTCCCATGTTCCTATTGTTAATTCATCTCCAAACTCTCCAACAGAAGCATGAGTGTCCTCTAGATATGCCCCAGCCCGCAGCACTCAGCTGTCGTTTGAGCCTCTGCCTCCTCGCTGCAAAGTGAACAGCTCGCCCTCCAGTCTTGCTGTCTAGATGTCCTGGCATCTCCCATCCCCGAAGCTATGGGACTCACGCAAACCTCTCCTCTCTTATTCCCGGTTTCTAGGCCCCCTGAGGCTGCTTTACACTGTATCATCTTGGCAGCACTGCCACCTGCTTTCAGATCTCTGTACAACCAGGGAGAGGCCAGCGGTCTGTCTCCCAGAGCCCCTCCCCTGTGTGAGGGACGGTTAGGGTCTGACCAGGACAGACAGTCACAGGTGACTAGGGAGGAGAAAGGAGTGAAGCCATTACTCTCTGGAGGTGTGCCCTCCGGAGCGGTGGCTGACAGGACGTTCCTAGCGGCCTCCTGGAGGAGGCTGTTCGGCCACCTGCTTGGCCCGAGGCAGCTGCCGGGCAGCACTGGAGTGATCGGCACAAACCCTGGTCTCTGCAGCTGCTGGCAAGGCCGATCCCCACCCCCAGTTGTTAGGGAAGTTTGGGAAGCGA